ATTATATCGATAGACACTTTTGAACCCCTAATGCATTTCATTATCTAATGAACGCAAACTATATTATCATATATTATATAACGATTGGTATTATTTGAAGAACTTGTCATTTATCTCAATTTATTTGGCAATATAATCACTAAAGACAATATTATCATAGTTTCAAATTCTATTAACTTATAATACAGTGAAACGACAATTATTTAAATTAATTTTTACATTTAAATTAAAGTGTGATTTAAAATTTATTCAAAACATTGAAAACGTAGAGAAATTTTACCTAGCTATACTTTATACTGGTTTCTCCACATTTGAAATGAGCAATAAATTACTAAATAAAATAAATTATATCTACAATAGTTCTTGTTTAATGTATTGGTCAGTCTATTAAGTTTTTACCCACAATTCATTTATAAAGAATGTGGTTTATAGGATCGTTTGTTTAGGGCTTGAATGGGCAAAAAAAAAACTCACAATTTGGTCTGTGTAAATTTCAATTAAAAAATGACTGGTGAACTATTGCTGCATTTTTTTATTGCTACCCATTATAGGTCTAGGGCAATGCTAATTCTACAGGTAATGCTAAGTCTGTGACATAGGGTTTACATGGATAACGCTAAGTCTATGGCAATGCGGATGCCTATGGGATTTGACTGAGAAATGGATGGAAAAGATGCGAATTCTAAGCAAATTTGACAATTGAAATATAACTAAATATTGCTAAAACATCGCTTGCAATATTGAAAGCATCCAAACAATAGCATTGAAACATTTGAATTCTTTGATGCATTTGTGATTAACGTATAGCATCGCTATGTGTGAGTTGTTTGTATCCAATTAATAGTATAGAATCGCATTTAGGTGTAGAATAAAACATTTTTTAGTATACAATTTGTAATTTACAAATGTACTCATAAGAAATACCGCCGATTCATGGCTTGCAGTTATTGTAATTAAAACTTTACTTAATTACATTTAATTACAATTTCATGTAATACAGTATTCAATATTGATATTAAATGATTATTAATTATATAGTACAGTACTTTAAGCATCATCATGATTAATGGCAATTGTACAATATATTCAGAATGTTTTATTAGATACAGTGTAGACTAGAGACGTGATCAGATGTATAATTGTCACAGTGCACTACTGTTGTTATTCAAATGTAGTCAGATGTAGTCGAATTAGTTGATCAGTGATAAATTATCACCAATATTTAACTCATGGAATATTATATTTTGTTTTAACAACTGTGATTTTAAAAATTTCTAATTATTATTTGAACTTTCAGATAACATTTTTATTTTACAACTTTTACCTTCAATTCCTAATGCCTATTAATTGGTGATAATTTGACTACATTTGAATAACAACTGCACTGTGACAATTACACATCTGATCACTTCTCTGCTGTAGACGACTTATAAGTTATAAGTTACTTGGAATATACAGAATAATATTATGTGATATATCATTAGTAATGATTCATTACTAATTCATTAGCATTTATCAATGATACAGTCATGTTTTTAAGTAAACTTATAAATGACATTATGTTGCAACATTGCAATATTATAAAAACATGAGTGTTCGCCTTTATAATAAGTATGATTTAATTTAATCACTATTTAATTAAAATTTTTAATCCCAGTTATTAATGAAGACAATATGTAATCAAATAAAAAATTTAATTATTAAACGAAATGCAAATTAACTAATTTTAGTATTTTTATATAAAGTTCTTTTACAGAATATATTATATAATAGAAAACATAATAAATAGTTGTTATTTTAGTCGTTTGTAAACTCCAATATTATTATTACTATTAAATTAAATTAGTTTTTCAATATAAAATTCTAAACTTTTTATTTATTAAAAATTTCAAATACTATTATATGAGTGTCGAAATTGATTATGAATTCTGTATTGTTATCGGTTTTCACTTCAATTTATATAAAAAAAATTGTAGATTTTTATAGAAACTATGTTTTCATTGGGGAACTGAAAAGGATTTAGCGAAGAGTGCGGCCATCGCTAAGTTTTTGTCGCCATTAAACTTATTGAGTTCTTCTATCACTTGATTTCTAGTGAATCCCAAAGCCATTAACTCTTTGATATCAGATTCGGGATATTCTACTTTCTTAGCACCGGTAGAGGACGTCGTCTCTGAAATACAAGACATTTTCAAATATAATTCTCAAAACAAATATCGCTATAAATACGGGAATCAGTGATGGATCTCCTGATGGCTTCGTCGAGATCCGATTGGCCATCGGTTTCGGCGGACGATTCCATTGCTCTATGTTTGGCAAACTCTGGCAATTCGTTTTCGTTGAGAAATGAGGTTTCGGTTCCAGTGGTGCCGATGAGCAGAACGTTGCGCTTGAGATCAATAGAGCACTGGTGTCTCTTAAGCATATCCA